TGAATGAAATTGGGTGGATTACATCATTGTGATTTGAAAAGGTATCAGCTTTCTTGATGGGTATGTTTTTGATGTTTGAATTTGATTCAAAACATGTATATGTTTTGGCTCAAGTGATAAGGTTTTTCACCCGGAAGTTGCTGGAGTGTGGATGTATGCTGCAGCTTGGGAATTCAATCGGAACTTGAATGTTGCTGCGGCTCGTGCGCTTATGTTGAATGGTTTGAGAGTGTGTTTTCGAATTCTGAAGATTTGTGGGTGAAGTATCTTAGAATGGAACTTACTGTTCTACATAAGCTGAAAGCTCGTAAAGTGGCTCTTGGTGAAGATAAAGGAAGTTTAGTACGTGGTAAGAAAACCGAGGAGGATGAACAATGGAAAAGATTGAGAATAAAGAGCTGTTTATGTCGTTCGATGAGAAAGAAGGAAATGAAGACTCTGATGTTGAAGATGTGAGTGAGAAAGTTGATATCTTTTGGGAAACAGGGTCGGTTGTTCTTAAGACTATCTATAGTGGAGCCATTGAGGCTCTTCGATCTAGTTTTGATTTGAAGAAGCGTTTCCTGGAGATTCTAGAGGCGACAGATTTGGCGCATTCAGAAGAAATCCGAGATATGATCTTAAGTGACATGAAGAGGGATTTTTCCCAAGGACCCTGAATACTCGGATTGGCTTGCAAGGCATGAATTGAGTGAACATACAGGCGAATCCTCAAATGCAAAAGGCTAATCAGATATATGAAGAGGGTTTACGAATTGTTTCTTCGAGTTCTATGTTTGAGATGCATATAAAGTTCTTGCTGGAGGCTATTGCACAGTCAAATTGTGACGTTAATGATGAAAATTTCTCAGTGTCTAATCCAATTGGGGAATGTAGTTCACATCTTATAAATGTGTACCAAAATGCTGATACAGCCGGTTGGTTGACAGCTGACGTTGCTTTTGAATACATGGAATTGGGAAGGAACCATGAAGCTCAGAAGCTAGCGGAAAAGCTTTGCGATGGGAAATTAGTGGGATCAGCTAAATTGTGGCTTCTTTCAACTGCTTTAGTAAAAGTACCGGTCTCAGAATCTGAGAGCTTGTGGCTTTTGGTATGCGACTAGTTACAAACTCTGTTTTATAGACAATATCCATTTCGTTTCTATTTAAAGACTAAACTGATGAAATGCTTATTATATAAATCACAGGCTCTTAAGTTCGTTGCTCATAAGAGAACTTATTTTGACAAACTTGTCGAGATGTCCATCATATCAGTAGCCAAAGGCAATGGGAGCGACCACAGGCTTTCTCCCGCCACGATCATTAAATTTGTTCTTCTTTTTCACCATATTTCAAGTTCTTTGCTCTTTATTCTCACCATCGTTACCCACCAAATCCTTCAGGTTCTTGGCTCTTCCTCGTCATGGTCTTATTCTGTACAAAGATTGCATTGAAATAGAGACAACCTTGCATCACTAGATGATAAAGTTGTCTCACTAATGTCCGAAAGCCGTTGTGGCAGGATTACTACTCAATAGAGAACAAGGTAAAGTTTTGTATTGCAGAAACTTAAACTAAGACTTAATCTCAAACTGCTCTAAAGACATATGTTTTGTGGTGTTATTACAGATGGGAACATTAGAGACAGCTAATGGTGTTTATTGGCGAGGGAGAAAGACTCTGAAGGAAGTGGCAGGTTTCATTGTTCCATCTGATTTGTTGTAGTTATGATCAAAACAGTGTTAGGTACTTAGGTCCCACACCACAATTTATTAGATTTTGTATTAGTCAATGTTGGATTATGTTAGTTGACCGTTAAGATAATGAGTTTTATAMGATTTAGTGGTTCCTCTATTTGAAAAATAACTCACTTTCGTGAAAAAAGATGTTGAATTGGTTTAGTCAAAACTATTTGATTATTAACAATTTTTAATAGTGAAACTTGTTCAACCAAATCGACTCGTTCTAAAGAGACAACAACAAGTAAACCACAATTTTGGAAAGTTTGGGATTTTACTAATACTAAATGTTGGACCAAAATCGCCACATGAGAATCCATAAGTATGAACTGGTCATTCGTCAAACTTTTCTTCTTGGTCAAACATTTTTTATTCCCCTTTGTTTTCAAATTTTTAATGCTTGTAGGTTAGATCTCACAAGCTACATATACATTAGATCTCTCCCTCCTTAGCAACAAACAGAACAAGAACCACCAGAGAAACATACACAATAAACCAACAAAACCACCAACTTAAACCGCTTTAAACCAAGTGAAGAAGAAGATAATTCCCATTGTTGTCTCCATATATCATATATGGCATCATTGCAGGCTTCAAGATTTCTGCTTTCTACTTCTTGCTCTTCTTGCACGAAAACAAGATCCGCGGTCTCAATCCCTAAATTGCCCAAATTCAGTATCTCGGCCTCTAAAATACCGATCAAGAACCGCGATTTAATACTTGAAAAACCTAGTTTCGAGTTGGATGGGTACACGGAAAGTCTCGATCTTTCGATGTTAGAGAGACAGAAGAAGAGAGGGTATGATGATGATCGGGTTTTGCAGAGGTCGCGACTTCTTGCGGTTCTTGAAGAAGTAAGAGACAGAGTAGAGATGCATAAGAACATCAAAGAGCAACGTAACAACTGGAACTCTCTCTTGCTTAATTCCGTCAACATGATCACTCTCACCGCCGCTTTGATGCCCGGAATAGCCTCCGTGAACAGCGTTGGAGGAGATTCTGTTACCGCGGTAAAGATAGCTTCAACGATTTTACTAGCGTCTGCGACGGGTGTGGTTGCCTTGATGAACAAGATTCAACCCTCTCAGCTTGTGGAAGAGCAGAGGAACGCAACGAGGCTGTTCAAGCAGCTGAGAAACCGAATCGAGATGGTTCTAAGAGAAAAAAGTGAAGACGGAATCATAGAAGAAGACGTGAAAGAAGCGATAAAAAGAGTGCTCTGTTTAGACAAAGCTTATCCACTTCCTCTCATGGGAACAATGCTTGAGAAGTTCCCTCAACAATTCAAACCAGCTACTTGGTGGCCTGAAACAAAACCCGAATTCACTTCTCCGAGAACCGCGGTTAACGGGTGGAATACTGAGCTAGAAGTGGAGATGAGAGAGGTGGTTGAGGTTATAAAGAGTAGAGACGCAGAGGAATACGAGAGATTAGGTAACGTGGCGTTGAAGTTAAACCGAGTTTTGGCAATCTCAGGACCAGTGTTAACCGGAATTGCAGCTGTAAGTTCCGGTTTTATAGGTCACGGTTCAGGTTTGGCTGGAGTAGTAGCAACGACGTGTGCTTCTGTAGCTACCGTAGTGAACACGTTAGAGCATGGTGGTCAAGTTGGGATGGTGTTAGAGATGTATAGAAACTCTGCCGGATTCTTCTCTCTGTTGGAAGATACGATCAAAACAGAGAGAAGAGAGAATGGACAAGTTTTCGAGACCAAAGTAGCATTGAAACTAGGGAGAAGCTTGTCTGAATTGAGAGATCTAGCGTCAAGATCGAGCTTGTCTAGGTTACATGGATCAGCCATTAATGAATGCGCAAGCAAGCTCTTTTAAATTTTGTAATTAGTCTACGATACATATTCATTAATTCGTTTTGTGTATAGATAGAAATGGTAGATGATTCGTTCAGTTTTTTTTGACATGTTGTACATATTTATTGTTACTGCTTACTAGAATATAAAAATAAGAGTAAAAGTGTCTTTTTACCATTATTTTGTTTTTGTTTAATTTTTATTCCAGTTTCCCAAAATGCTATTTGCGAAACTAACAAAAGAACTACTGACTAATTGACCGGTTCACCGAATGACTAGTTTCTTTTTGGCTAAACTGTATTAAAATTTGTTATATCTCGTGCATTTTGCAGAATATGATAACGTTTAAATCAATTTCCAGTACAGACTTGTACAATAGTTAATTGGATAGCAATGTTAGATAAAAATTCGTGGAAGTATAGTTATATCCCAAAGTAATTCGTCCATTGATGGTGTAATAAGTGTTTCAATTAAATTTATTGGATAAATTCTGGCAATACGGTAATGCATTCTGTGAAGGTTAGTTCATGTATATTGATGGTGTCACCATGATTTGGTTTGTTGGATGGGAACTTGTTTTGATGTTACCGTTGGAGTCAAATATCAAAGGTAATGTCAAAGCCTTGTTCCCTATCAGAGGGTTCAACATCAAGTGGGAAAAATCAAAGAATCTGGTGGAAACAGAGGGTTTGAGATCAATGAGGAAAGGTCGAAGAATCTGTGTGAAGCAGAGGGTCTTGGGGATTTTTTTGTTTCCTGCAGGGCCACAAACATTTTTCTCTCTTCTGCGTGTTGTTGCAGAGAACCGTACCATGACACTGAGCTTGGAGAAGACAAGAAGATAGCATGCTTCCTCAAAGCAGTTTCTTCCTCGTTATCAGTGTATACAAGGAGAATGGAACCCAAGGTTACTAAACTTAACCACGGTTAATTTGCCTTGGTCACCAAGATGATTTTTTGTATACATAGTTGAAAGAATCATCTCTTGTACGGTACGTGT